AAATTTCATTGTGCATATTTCGAGAACACATTAATCGAGAAACATTTTAAGACAAGAATTATTTCGCTTTCTCTATTTTAACTGATACTTTATTCTTATATCAGTAGTATATATATCTTTTTTTGCGTATATTTTTTAAACTATTACAGATAGACTAATTTTGTTTGAGGCATTTGAAAGCACATAAAAAGCATATAATTCTAGCATATTGAGTTTTTTATTTTATATGTAATTTTAATGAGTGGGGGTGCTAGCTTACGTTAAGCCAACACCCTCAGTTTCAATTGCAATTTCCCACGAAACCGCTCGAGCACAAAAATCGTGAATAGAGCACATAATTAACGCATAAAGAGCACTTAATTTCTGCATATGTGTTATTCCGGTTTTTTATGGAGGGTGCTAACTTAACAGACATAAATACATTATATTACTTTTTTACCTTTTAAGATTTTTTCCTTTGTTTACGGATGTTTGCAAATCTAAGCTATTCCATTATAGTGTTCCAAGTCTTTCTCTGTATTACAAGGGATTGTTGTCTAATAGCCTCTAAAACAAGAAGAATTCAATATAGTTTAGATAAGAAAAAGGTTGTAATTTAATATATACATAATTTAATTATAATAAGCAGCTTTACTTACGACTTGTGTAAAAGTTTCTTGGTCATCTTTTAGCATTTCTAGTATCTTGTACAGAGTTTTCCTTATAATATATTGTTCACTGATGTTTATCTTAGCCAGGGTCAAATTTTTCAAATGGTGGTTTTTTGAATTTGATACAACAATTGATCCCATATGTTAAGACATATTCATTGCCCTGTACATATAAAATATGCTTACAATAATCTATTTATATACTTTAGAGTGTGATTATAGCACATATATGTGAAAAAAATATAGAAATAAATAAAAAGTCAGTTTTGGTCTTGTTTGTACTGATCGTTTGTTACATATCTATCAACTTTATACCAATTTTATACTAAATTACTTTTACAGTGATATATGCAAACAATGATGTATTAAAGCCGCACAATACTTCAACAAATCGTCTTCATGCATAGTGTACCAGGTTATTTATACGTTATCATTTACATATTTCGCTAAATTTTGAGGTTATTTTATAGAAAGTTACACTGTTTGGTACCATTGAAATAATAGCATTGACGAACCTTGATGATATTTTTAATGTCCAAGGACAAATCTATTATAGAACGTAAAAAAATTAATTGATATTTCCTCTCTTTTGTAAATCTCTCTTGTAAATCGGAAAATGAATCCTACATCACCAGCTACTATTCATAGCACAAATAATTATAGCACGTATATGGTTAATTGAATTCTTATCATACAACTTTTAGAATATAATAGTTACTACTTATATATAATTATGCTGTAAATAAAGAGCACTCCGCACTCCTCGATTGACACACGTGTATACGCACTCACGCATCGTATGTAGGATAATCATGTACATCATGGCTGTCGCGATGAGCGTTGCGCACAATATAAAACGATAACATTATAACAACAGAAAATTAATATACTACCAACGTTATTTCTGAGTCCAAATTACAAGGAATTTTGAACTGTTGCATTGATCTCAAATAAATGTCAGAGTAACATTTGAAAAATATTTTCTGTAACGTTTTCAAAATATTTTAACAACATTCAGAAAAATCATATTACGAAATAATATTTTTCAAATATGTGTATAATATTATTAAAAAACGTTTAAAAAATACACATAAAGTCAATATTTCTAAACGTTAATTTAATGTTCCTTGCTTACTGGGTATTATATTCTAAAACTTGCATATTAATGATAAGAACTCAATTATCTATATGTGCTGTAAATAGGTAGCTGGTGATTCAAGATCTATTTTTTGACCTATATAAGAGAGATTTGCAGAAGAAAAGAAATATACCAAAGTATTAAGGATCAAACATATTCTTGATGTATGTACTCGGGCCGCGAGGCTGAGCAATATTCTAAGGAAAGTATTATACAAGATACAAAGATTGGTCAATATCTTCCCTTATCTTTCATTGACAATTATCTGAGTTTTGAAGATATGCTAAAAACTGATCAAGAAGCTTTCATGCAAGTTGTAAGTAAAGCTGCTTATCACAATTATAATTAATTCTATAAACATTTACAAATAACATTTCCGGTTAGTAGTTACATAATTGTAGTAGATATTTTACACAATAAAATCAGACTTTGAAAATCCTCTCCCTCCCTCTCTCTCTCCCTCCCTTTTCTCTCCCTCTTTCTCCCTTTCTCTCCAAGAGTAGTAAATATAATATTTGCAATTTAGAGTCGACAAAGAGATCACCAGGACTTGTAATTTTTACCGATTTTTTGGTATTATTTTCAATGTAGTGCCTATAGCAAAGATAGTAATTGCGCATTATCTGTATCTATTATGTTTATAGTTATTTTGATTGTGGCGTAACATATGCATATATTTTTTGTTTATGACAATTTATTAGATGAAAAAATAGATGAAAAACTCTAAAAGTGTCAGTAACATACAGACAAATTCATCCAAACGTCATATCAAATAAGTACTAACGCATTCACACTACATTGTTTGTTTAAAATAGAATGAATACAAGTGAAATGTTACTAAGGTGAACGAGCAACAGGGATTTAGTTATCTCAGTATATTTACAAAAGCTCTTCCTGATGAGCAGAGACACAATATTAATAAAGCATACAATAGCAATCAAATTAAATGTCAAAAACATAGAATAATAGCACAGTTCACATTAAAGTCGAATAATTAATCATCCTTATATCCTAAAAATAAGAGCAAATTAAATATAATATATATAAAGGTTGGCAATAATTATGTTATTATTGCTTCTTGAAGACACTGTATGTGTCGTGATCTCGAATCGCATTATTTTTCTATCTCGCAACGAAAACTCAAACTAATATTTGAATAATGCGCAACGTAATGTCGAAACTAAGAAATATAAATGCATATTAATATAACGCTATATAATTTGGTAGAACATGTAATGCTTCTTCCGAGAATCTTTACTTTTTGCTACTGGAACGTAAGAGACCCGCGTGACGGGCTAAGGCCCGGTCTACAATGGATGTCGGAAGTCGGAGTCGTAAGAAATTGACCAATCACAGTTCATTATTCTTCGACCGCAAGGAGAATAATAGATTGTGATTGGTTAATTTCTTACGACTCCGACTTCCGACATCCATTGTAGACCGGGCCTAAACAATGAGGTATCAAATTTCAAGGTTGTTTTACCGTACCGACGTAAACACAGAATCTCTCGAAAATGAAATAACACAACGTATCGTCTCGAGTCAAAAACAACGCGGAATCAGTAGAAATACAATTAACGCGTGTACACATGGTGTAAATCGATGCGCGGCTTATCTATATTGCGATCTTACTAGCAATAGAGACCTTCGTTAGACAGCGTTATCCGTTGTAATCGGAAGAGCTTCTAAGATCCCGTAATGGCGTGGTCTACGCTTATCCGAAACACGGAAAGAAAAGGAAACGAAGTACTTAACGTTGAAGAACTCAGCTCGATCGTCATAGGCGACATTAACCATTGCAGGGATGTAATTCTCGAAAGTTAGCGTAATTCGTCCTTCTTATTAAGCACTCGCATCCTCCGTCCCTCGTGCGTCGGTTGGAATGTTCTCGCTCTCTCTTTCTCTTTCTCTCAGGCGGTAATAAATACGGAAATCGCACGCACGCAGAAATCAATCTGGTCGTGATCTCGAGGATCACACCACGCGTGTTAACGCGGGCGCGAGGCCGGTACTTCTAAAGTAATTATGCAATAGCGCGTCTTTATACTACACTTTCCGAGCAGAATATTCTTCCGTATTTTCCGAATCACGTCTCGTACAATTAATGTATATGACCGAACGATTTTACTTGACCGTACTTTATCGGGATTACGCTTATTCGAACGAATCTTACTAATCGAGCAAAGGAACCACGACCTCGAAACGTGCGTTCTGTATCTCAGACCTTGAGCGAATGGCGCGGAACGCGGCTCGTCGCGTCGCATGCACAGACCGGTAACAACAAAAGAGAATCGGTAGCGCGCTCCTAGCTTCCGGCAACGTGGTCGCCGCTACGCTATCGATTTCACAAACTAGTCGATATTTTCGAGAACGCGCTAATTTTGAACATTGTTCAAGTCTTTTATGCACATAGATCTTCTATGTATAAATGTGTGTTGCTTTGTTTTACCATATTTAGCAGAAAGCTTAAGTATTTATATATAAAAATCTTTTTGCAAATTTTTCATATATTTTTAAGCTTTTAAATTTAATGGAAATGGTACAGTAATATTTTTTTACAATTTTTTTTAACGGAGCAAACATACTGGTAATATATAAAAGTTGTACAATTTTTGTAACAGATAAATATTTACACTGACAGCTCGAGATCTTTTACTTTGAAACTTTTTAATCATTTTTGTGATATATTGAGCAAATGCTCTAATTGATTTACACCTATTTTTATTATGTAAAAACATTTGTAATTCTATGCAACCAATACGATATATGTAAACTTTCTAAAAGAAGGTAAAATTTTATCGATAAAGTTTTCAAATATGGTATGTCGTATGTCCTTCAAAAATCAAAATGTATTTGTATTAATCTCTATAATGAATTCAACTGTATGTTTTATGTATAAAACGATCAAATAGAATCTTGAGGAGAAGCACCCAATGTGTCCAAAACTAAAAATGGTTACTCTGACTCTTAATCTTACAAACTTATATCTATAATATACGTCCTTTAATATGTTCTATAATATCTTATAATATGTGTTATTATATTTTAAAAGTCTTCTGAACTATTTTCCTTGCAATTTATAATAATATACTGCATTATATAGAATTACAAGTATAAATTTTTCAGGTGAACAAGGTTATGTTAATTGGAGGGAAACATGAAAAGGATTTTATTAGAAGAAGTTTGAGTGCTACATTTTCTGATGACAGCCTCCATGTGTGTTCATGGACTGGCCAAAAAAATAATTATAAAATTGGAGATACGCACACAATTCTGAGCATTAAAAGTAAGTAATTTTTTAAGAGATGTATAT